ACACAAATTGAAAATTACGGCTTGAAAATATAATTCCCACAAAGACCATTAAGAAAAAAAGAACACGTTCTAAAACTATAAGCACATATGTAATTTATGATAATAGTCTAAGAAATTGATATTGTATATGTGTGTATAATTTGAAATATATTAGACCTTAGAAAGAGAAAAAATTTCATGATTATTATAATGGAGTCATTCTGGTGATAAATTATAATTTGAATACAAAGCACATTTTCTCAACTGCCATTCAATAGGAGTTCCCCTACTTTCTTTTAATTAGCACTGTAGAATGTTTTATTTATTATGATTTTTCTCTAATTTAGTAGTGAGATTATTAAACATAATTTTAACACTAATGGTGTTTTGGAAATTGAACAATATCCTTCTTTTATTAATGGAATTTTAAAAATGCTTCTACAAATAATTTATATTTTAAACTCTAGTTCTTAGTTCTTTCTGTCCTTTGAATAATAAATTGCTGAAAGTAATTAAAGTAGGTATACTCTTGAGAAGCATACTTCACTCTAATATAGCAAGGCATCATTCTAATATAGCAAGTGATAAAATAACGACTTTTGTTATTACTTTTGTGGTATCTGTTAAATTAAAACATATATTGGAATAAGAGAAAAAATAGCTGGTACTTTTCTCATTTACTTTGCCTGTATTTTTAACCAAATGATTACAGATTTCTACATGGAAATAGGCTCTACTCATGTCTTTCCCTCTGTTATTTTCCCAAATATCCCCGTGATTTAGATAACTCCAATTATATTTTCAGTCTAATTTGATATCTATCACTTGTGTGACCCTGACAATTCATTTACCTTTTATGAGATTTGCTTTTGTCATGGAAGTATTATACCATATTATTTTTAAGATCTTTGCAGCTTATAAATTCTAAGATTAAATATTCTAACATCAATTAAGAAAAAAATTTGTAAAGGTTTGCATTGTTGGTAATCAATAACTTTTACTTGAGGTTCAATTAACAGTTTTAAGTGATCATCCCCACTTATCTTTTTATTAAAAATGGAAATTATTTTATTGAGTTCCATAGAAAATTACATAATCTCACACATTAGAATTCCTAATTTATTATGAAAATGCAATCAGTTGAAGAAACGGCCCATTTTTCTAGCTTATTTAGAATTGCCAACACAGAGACAGCTTTTAATCATTTCATGGTGAAATTAGATATCTACTCTTAAGGTGTTGCGAGAAGGTCATCCTGGAGATGGAGGCCTATAGCTCGTTCATTACAGTTTTAAGTATTCTTTAAAGTTAGTGCTCATTTTATTGTGTTTACTTTCCATTATAGATTAGAGTTTGAGAATGTGGCTTCTGGAGCCAAATTGTGTGGTTTGGAAACCTGCGTCTCCACTTGCCACCCTCCCAGCCAGGTGACATTGGGCAAAGTCCTTAACACCTCTTCTGTCCGAACCTGTGCAATAGAAATAATAGTACTTATCTGTTAGAGTTGTGGAGAAGGTTTAATAAATTAATATACACAAAGCTCATTCAATAATGTGATTGTTAAAAAAATTAGCTATCCATAAGTTGTTAGTATTATTCAAGTAATAATTATTATAAACCAATTTACTCCCCTGAGTACATAAAAAAGAGACACCCCAGGTTGTTCAAAGTTATAAAATTGTCAATTATAGCTCCTCCCCATGCCACCTTTTTATTCCACTGAAGAAATAGAATATTAATGAGAGTGGTGTAATATTATTTATTGGGCATACCCTTTAATCTACTCACTTTATAAAACAAATAGGTCATTCACAAACTCCCTGACTTTATCCATTAATTATTAGTGTCATATTCATATGATACCATTCTCATCTAATAATGAAACATCATTGCATTGCAATCCTGAGGTTGAACTCTAAATTTAAAGATAAATTTAAAAGTAAAAACGAAATACCTTGCAGGCTGTAGTTCACAATGTCTGAGAGCATATTAAGTCGTTAGTGTAAATGGGCCTGAAGTAATTTAAAAGTAGGAAAGTGTGTGTACTCAAAGGACAGATTTAGGTAGACTCTAGATTCAGAGTAAAATAATGCACAGTGATCTAATATTCTAAAAAGGTGAGAAAAATAAATGACTGTAATCTAACAGATTTCTCAAACTTCATTCTAGCCCCCCTCCAATCTCTTCTCTCCTCTGCCATCAAAATGATATAAGATATGAGTAGGAACTGGTAACTGATCTGGTTTAAATACCCATTAGAGTACGGATAAAATACAAACTTCCTATCATAGTTTTTAAGGTCCTTTATACATTTTTCAACACAGTCTTTCTTGGAATTCCATGTTCCTGCCATATTTCTAGGTGTGCTATGGCCTTGTCCTTCCTTGGCTTGTTATTCATGTCGCTATCTTATTCTAGAACTCTTTCCTTCACATCCTCTGCAATCACCCTTCCTTTACTTGAAAAATAAAGTAAAGGAAAAATCCTCTGCAATCACCCTTCCTTTACTTGAAGGATAGTGCTCCTATCCTTCAGAGCACAATTTAGATGCCATTTCCTCCAGAAATTCTCCTCTAATATCCCTAAAGTATTTGTCTTCTCCATTTCCAGAGCTCATTTTGTTTATTGCTTATTGCCTATTTATTCTTGTCACTCTCCCTTTGAGGGAGACAGGGACTATGTCTTCTTAATCTTTTTTCTACTCAGTGTTTATATAGTATATTCCTAGTATATGTATGATGATTAAATAAATGCATTAGTCAAAATCAGAAATGTTGATTATTAATAAGCTTATTTAAAACTGCAACATCTATTCACATATGAATAAGAAATACTTATATTGAGATAATTTTCAATTGCTTTTAGAACTTTAATTGGAGAATGATATATCTCCTGAATTATGGTTCTTAAAACAAAAACAAAAACAAAAAAAGTATTTGCCATATTCTACCCAAGCTATGCAATGAAGTATAAAAAAAAAGGGAATAAGGTTACCCTTATTTTTCCTCCAGGTGCCAATCCAGGTGAATGTAAAATAAAAACTTTATAACTACACTTTTCTAGAGTTCTCACTGGCATTGAACAGTAAGTGCCAAAGAAATATAAATATTTAAACTAGTTTGTTTTTAAAACTGTAAGTTTTTCTAGGATAATCGTAGGAACACATTCTCAATATGAAGAAAATAACTGGTAATATTTTATTTCTCCTGTTTTTAGTTCTTAGATTAAACCTATGGATCAGGGCATTTTTGAGAATATGACAAAAATAGTATGGAAAAGATTTCAAGAACAAGTTGATCAGTACTGTAGGCAACATTTAATAGATTTGTGCCATAGAAAATACATTTGTATTGTAGGCTATGCTTTGAGTGCTGTTAACAATAAAATATTAGAGATAATTTGAAGAAAATATGGCATTATTTTTGCAAAAGTATTTTCTTTTTTATTAAATTTATTGGGGTGACATTGGTTAATAAAATTATGTAAGTTTCAAGTGTGCAATTCAACAATTCATGGACAACAATTTAGTGATTACCAGAGGGAAGGAGCAAAAGTATTTTCTATTGAAGTATTTAAAAAAATTCAGACATAAACCTAAGAAAAATGCATGAAAAAAATGAAAGATTTTATTTTTCCTAAAAAATAAATCTTGTTCTCTTGAAACTAACATATTATTTTAAGAAACAGGCCAGTATTGATTTTTAAAAAAAGCAGCTCAGAATTATATTTATCACAATATGGTTTTATTTGTTGATATTTGATAGCTGAAACCTTAATAGTTTTAAGTTTGTCTGATGTCTCTTCTCTGAGCAGAATAATCTTAATTCTTATATTTCTTTTACTTAGAGCCTTTTTCATAAGCCTTGATTCATTTCTTTGCTTTACTTTGGATTCTTCCTAGTTGTTCTGAATTTAACTTCTGTATCATCGTTTTATTCTGTCATTCCCCATAGACAAACTTGTTAGTAATTTTTTACTTCTATGGTCTGATAGTCAAGTTGTCTACAGAATTCTTGCAGAGAAATTCTAATATTTTTCTAATATGTTATAAAAGTTCTTGTCTAGATAAAACAGTAGGAATCTAACACGTTATCACTGTTAGCTCCCACCTATTGAATATCTGCTATGTTCCATGAAGAGTTGTCTTTACAAAAGAAAGAATGGCCAATATATTTGTATAGCCAATTTTTATATTTAAAAACTGTACTTTTTAGTTTTTTAATTGCAAAATCTAATCTCACTTTTAGAGTTTTCAATATAGGACTACATTGAAATGCACTATAGGATTATATTGAATGTACTATAGTATATATGTTATAATCAAAAAGTAGAGCAAAAATATTGTCAAATAAAGCCAAGTAAGTGGGACTTTCTTGTTATTTTAATATATTGTATACAGCTGGTTGGATCATATCAATGACCTGTCTGGATTAATCAAATAGGCTATATTACAATTTTTTTTATCTCCTGAAAAAATGTTACTCATTCCCGTGACAAATAATGCCTGGATTCTTGACATCTAATATAGGTTTCACATTAGCAATGTTTTGGTCCAACAAAATAATCTTCTCACAAACATGTAAAACAATATATAAATAATAGAGCTCTCAATTTTCCATGGAAGCAGAATTTAGTGTTAATGTGGTGAAATAAGTTTCCTCATCAACAAACTTTAGCCTATGTAAATAGATTTTTAAAAAGTTAAGTTTTAGGCTAAATGATGTGATCACAGGAAAAGTGAGTTTTCTGTATAAGCTATAGAGGACAAGTGATGCTTAAGGGTCAGCTTATACTTCTGAAGGAGGTACAGGAGGGAATGGGAGGACCTCTCTACAGAAAGAGAAGAAATATAAGACCTGAATGCTACCATGGAAGGGAATTTGCAATTTAAAAAAGAGATTGCCCGAGATTGCTTTTGTGGACCAGTAGCATCATACTATAAAATAATTTTTCTTTTTCTTTTTTGCTGTGACACTTAGTTGATGATGTATTCTAGTAATTCCAAATTTGAATTTCTCTACTCTATAACTAAAACTCACTTAATTTCTTAACTTGAAGGAGGAAGAACAATGGCTGGACAGAAATTTCTTACAGAGAAATTTGGATGCAAAGCTCTCTTGAAATCAGAATTATTGACCAAATTTAGCAGTGTCTGTCAAGTTCTACAATAGCAGAATGTAAATTCATGTTTCTTTATCCAAGTCAAAGAATTACGAATGGTATTAGTTTGCTTAATTCTCAAGATGAACTAGTTAAGTGATGCTAGGCAAAAGTCATTTAATTGTAAACTTATATAACTATGCGGTGTACCTGTTGATTTCCACCTGAGCATATCTATTCAAATTTGTGGTGAGTGCTGAAGTTTTGTCTATATAGATCCACACCTGAACCTATGAGAATCTAGCAGTAAGACTATGTTTTTGAAACTACTCCACACAGATGGTTGGAGTATATATTGTTAATAGACTATTGAATGGTCTGCTGTAAACCCAGGGCTCAGTGCTTGAGCTTCCCTTTCTCAAAAAGTGAGGCTGGGGTTGGAATAAAGAGTTTACCTCCCAAGTTTTCAGAGGAAGTAAAAATTCGAGAAATCAGTATAACAGAGTAGATGATTATTTAAATTCTGAAAAGAGAAGTCTGATGGATGAACAAGTCTTAAGGAAGAAGAAATGGATATTAGTAAAGCAGAACTAGGAAAACAAAACTGAACCAGCAAAATGCCTTTGTTGAGAAGAGGTGCTTCTACATCATATTGGAATTGACTGCACAAGGGTTCATGCATGAGACAATTGAATAGAATTATTCAAGGCCAGTGTAAACTTCAGATTTGATCTTAGTTACAGATTCCCTCTCTTGGTTTTTTCACAAATGGAACCCAATTACATCTATTCTCATTGGCTAGGGACCTTTTCCCCCATGCTTATATTTTGTAAGACTTTTCCCCACATCCTACCTTCCTACCCCTTTTTCCCATGGTCCCTACTTCTAAACATTAGACCTTACTTCCTGACAGCTTAGACTTGGCCTATCATCATATTAAGTAAGTATATGTATTTAATTGCTTTCTTAGTGAGTTGTGAATTTTTTCTTTAAAAAAGTTAAAATTACATGGAAAGGTATGTTATATTGTTTCCTATCAAGTGAGGCACATTTATTAGATGCACGCCTGTTTGGACACAAAGACCCAATTTAGGAACTACCAAATAATGAGTATTATTATATTCCTTTTTCAAGGGTTTGAAATGCCATCCTTCTGAACTTAATACTTTAATATGAAAACAAACATTAAGAATAGTGTGAGTAAATTACCCAGTGGACATTATTTTTCAATAATTTCAATGTCACTCTGGTTAATAGCATATTAAGTGTTGATGATATTTCAAATTGACAAGTTTTGAGATTGTCTTCTCTTTTTACCCCAGGTCATTTTCCAAATAGAAATTTAGAGATTTCTCTGTAAGAAAAATAGAATAACTGATGAGTAATTACATTTTCTGCAACACCATGCAGTAGTCAAACAGGCTGAACTGCCAAATGATTTTGCTATAGGAAGGGCAGGAGGAAATAAAAATAAAATAAACAATTCTCCCTACCCACAAAAAAAAAACAAAAAAAACAAAAAAAACAAGAAACCATCAACAAAGCCCAGAAACATTTCAAACATAAGATCATCTTTTACTTTACTCTTTTGTGGGTTATTTACTTTGCCTTCTGGAAATATTACACAATCTATTAGCTTTTTGTCTTTAGATGTTTGCAGGGTATGGAATGTACCACTAACTTAAAAAAAAAAAAACAAACCATTGATTCTTACAACAGAACTGGTGTGTCCTTGCTAACCACGTAACTACATTAACTATAGCTGCTTCACAAATAATAAAATAAAATGAAAAAGCAGTTAAGAAAACAGGCCATACACTCTACTAACTTTATTAGTTAGCAATCAAAGTAGAAAACATTTAATAGTGAGTGTTGGTTTATCATTGTTGAATCAATAACAGTAACCTGTATCATTGTCAAGTTAATAACTAACAATGACCAAGAACTTTCCTTCCTTCCTGATGAGGCTTGACTGCCAATGATCAATGGCAGAGCGATGAACACTAGAAAGGGAAGATAGAGCCGCAGGTTTCAGTTCTGCCTTTGTCAGCAGCCGTAGGATTTTGGTTAGTCACTTCATGTTCCTGCTTTCTGTTTCTTTGCTTGTTCAATGACGATATTGGGCTAGCGGGCTTCCTTCCATGTGATTATGTGTATTGTGTGATTTTATTCCACTGCCAAATAAAAACGATTTTTGTGTTGTCTCCTTTGTGTTATTTGTTCCCCTCTGCTCTCATCAGTATGCTTGGTTAAGAGCTAGCCATGTGACATTTTGCAGATTGAAATTCTTGGTCACAGTGGACCATAAATAAAATAATTGAAATTAAGAAATAGAAATAGAAATAAAAAATGCAATATAGACAAAGAGTATAAAATTATGACAAGGAGGGATACAACTTCTCCCCTATTTAAAACAGAACAAACATCATGAGAGTACAGTATTATATTTCATTTCAGTCTCCATATTTAAAAAAGTAGAGAGAGAAGCTTAATTTAATTCAGAGAAAAAACAATAAATTGATGAAACCTTATAGAACACAGGTTCTATGAGGAGTGGTTACAGTCAAGAGAAGGAAGGGGTAAAGGGTGAATTAATAGCTGTAATGAGAACACTGATCCATAATTGCTTGTCTTCACAGACAACTATCTCACAATAATAATAACAAAACAGGATTCAATTGATGAAAGAAAAAGGTAGTTCCTTGACTTCAATTATGCTATTTTTGAGGAAGACTTAAAAACTGCAATGCTGGATAGTATTACAAAATTTTAGAGGCGCTTGTCTATCTGGGATGCTTTATATGTATTCCATACTCTAGGCAGAGATATTCTGATGTCTCTTTCAACTTAGACATCAGTATAAAAGAGTAATAAATTATAATTAATGTTTAACGTTTCATATCTGTAAAGCTATAGGAAGAAACTGTAACTTGATTCTTTCTGGTTAAACTTGTCTATGAATTTTGAGTATGGGAATTTGGATCTGAACCTTAGCTTAATATTTGATTATAGATATATACTTCTAAGAAAACTTTTTTTTGGTTAAGAAACCAGACTTTTCTCTTTTTTCTTATAAAACATAAAATGGGCATCTTTTGAACTTAAAATTAGATTCCAAATGGTTCTAACCACACCCTGTGAATCTTTAGCTCTTGAAGTCTGAGACTTTACAGTCAAGATTTAGAGACTATAAATTGAGTGGTTATATTAAGGCTTTTGCAAAAGAAAAGACAAAGGAAGAATAACTGAAACAAGTTATTTAAGTGGACAAATTACGTCATAAGTAACATCTCTAGGTCAATTTCCTTATCTAAAATGAAAGGAATGATGGTAATTGTAGCAGAGATTCGTTGAAAGAACTGAGATAATCTTTGTAAAGTGATTAGCAAAATGAATATCAAGTAGTACAGGCTTCAGAAATGTAGCTATTATTATTAGAACTGCCACCATTGTCAATATCTTAAGCTGAATGTTTTAATATACTGTACCTTCCAAGAAAAAATTCAAACACGATGCATATTCAAATGTAATAGAAAAAAAGGAAAAAAATTCTATGTGAAGTAGAAAATTATTCCACTACATTTTTCTTTATCCTTATTATTAAAAATATAAGGATGAATAGTAAGAAATAAGGGGCGGCAGAACAATGTGTGTGGTATGAAAATGGAATATGTATTTAAACAGATGCAGTCATTTAACATGCTTCTGTATACATAGATTTTTTCTTCTGAAAAACATACAAGAATCTTAATAATGTATCTCTGAAATGATAGACTGAGATTTTGAGATACTAACCATGTGCTCTTTCATATGATTGATAATGTATTATTTTTAAATGAACTACTAATGTAAAGATTATTGTAATAATGGTGCTGCTACCAAAACTATAGAAGAGACACACTTCTCAAGTAGTTAATGTGCTTGTTTTGAATTATGAAATTAAGCCATTTAATTAAACATAGTACTATCCATGATTATGAAATTTTAGAATAACAGTTACTCTCATTTTTGTGTTTCTTCTCTTGCCCTTCCCAGTTTTCTGACTTATTACAGTAAACCTACAAACATATTGGAATTAAAATGATCTTTCATATTTATTGGACTTTTTAATAACACTAGTCTACATTTAAGTTTAAATCACATTTTTTTATGAGATTGCAGACTTATTGATTGGTGTTTCGAAGTGATTTGCAAATGTAAAATTGTAATACTATATGATGACCACTTAAATATTGCTTAAAGAATAGTTAACAAATTCACACCTGTGATGACAAGCGAGCATGAGAAAAAAATAAAATGAATTTAAATTTTGTATCAGTAATAATTTTCTGACACCATGTTTAATGAAATAGATTAGTGCAGAAGCATGTGGCATAGTTGTCCTGGAGAAATGTTTCCCAAATTCTTGTGATTCCCAATAATTAGGCCACAATCAAATTCATTTGTGAAATGGTGTATTTTTTTCTGACCTTAAAATTCACAATACAAATTAACTTTGTTAATTCTTGATGTAAAGAAATTTGTTAACCATTACTTAATCCAATGTCTGACTTGAGACACTTGGAGAACCAGTGTTTAAGAACCATTAGTCATCATGTTTACAAATAAAATATGTTATATAAGTATATTACACAAATGAAAGATGATTCAGATTTAGGACTATTCGATTTCTGTTATAATCTAGAATTATGTTTCTGCATTATAAGTAAAAATACAACAGAACAAAAGAAACTTGATCATTTGTTCAAAGCTGCATGTAAGTTTTCTTTATTATTTGGAATTTATATTGTCCAATTTTAAATTTTAAGCTCACTTAAATATGGATAATTTTAAATTTGGGGAAGTAGCCAATAATAATTGTATTATTGCTACTTTTTGCCTAATGTGTTGAATGCTTAACACCTCATAAGTGAAAGCTAGAATTCTCAGAGATTTTCAAGGATATAACCTTACTATACCAAATATAAAAAAATTGTATTGCCAACTGTTTTTATCAATCATAGAAAATTTGGAAGCCTAAATATGTGTAAAACGTTTTTGTTATTCTAATTTAAGGGCTAATTAGATAAATAAAAGAATATTAAATCTTATCTCTTCTTGGAGGAATTTAGCAGGTCTAAATTCTGTAAGAGAGTTTACTCTCCTAGAAATCTTTGCAAAATCAAGGTTGATTCTTTTTGAGTGTAGATTTATACAAAACATATTTATAACTCACCTGATTCAAAGAGACACCACTTGGCCACATTCTCCTTATAGCTATTACCTCTGGTATTTTTCTGAAAGACCACTCATAAAATGTTTCTTTTAAGACACCAGATAATAATGTCTTACTTTTAGATTGTATTCTGGCATTTAGAAATCCAAATTGTTTTGAATTCTGGGCCCTCCTTTGTATCTGATGTTTTAGTTCACAGCTAGTCAAGATGCTAAGTCAAAAGAGATTAGATTTTAAAACATAGGTAAACATGTTTGAAAAGAAACAACTGAAAGATCCAAAAATTAACACAGGGAGTAAAAGATATTTTTTATTTATTAACAATGAACATCTGCCTTTAGGTAATCAAATATTCCAAGTATTTTCACAGACCTCACTGTTAAATATTGAAGGCAGACTGATATAAGTAAACGTGCTTTCAATTTATGAGCTAGGATGAATAGTATATGGAAGGTATTATGAATCCCTTCAAATTACCACAGTAATCCAACAGCCATGGGAGCAAACAAAAAGGCTTAGTGTGTTTTTACAATATAGTTCTAGTTCATTTCCTCCAGAATGCTGCATCAATAGCCATAGTACTATGGCACTTTCGATAAGTGTGGTAACAGCATGTAAAACACCTAAAACTGAAAGAATTAAAAGCAATTCTTAGATAATTGTATCCCCAAAGGGAGTACAGAATACTTTGGGACAGTTGGCTGATTGTATTTTGTTTCATTTTTTACTTCTCCATGTGTGCCCACAACATATGACTCACGACCTGCATATTTCTGAGTCTGAGATGTCAGTACCTAAACAGGATGTGTGATGTGGGGCTAGACATCTTGAGACATTTCTAGTTCCCTACTGCAGACACATATAGCCATGGTCAGGAAGCCTCCACCTTCCTTCACAGATCACAGATGCCAAATCCTTGTTTCATCTTCAGGGGACCATACAAACATTTTTTTTTTTTTTTGCTGCTTTGCTGCCGTTTACATTTGCTAAGGCCTCAGGAATTTCCTTTGACTCCTCAGCTGACTTTGGAAAACAGACTTTTGTCTTAGAGGACTTTTAAGTTATCACTGTTTTTAAGAAAACACAAAACATGAAACATATTCCACAAAGTACTTCTGAAAATGATTTTCCATATTTCAGAGTTACACTGAGTACACTTAAAATTACACAGCTCTGTGGCCCTCTCCTGGAACTCTCCTGGACAGGCATTTATTGTCATGTGCATTTATTTAATTTGGGAAGTGATTTTTTTTAATTTTAAAATTAACTGCAGCCATACAGAAAATGTGACTAGGCAATGACTATATTTTGGAAAATTATTTAATAATTCACTAGCTTAAAGAGATTGCCTTTGCTTTTTCTGAATCCTTTATGAGGTTTTGCTCTATGTAGTTATCCTTTCCATTAATGTGGAAAGTAAAAGTAGTTTTAAAATTGGTGAAACAAATTCAGGGTAGGTAATAATAATGATATAGAGTTTTTCATAACATTATAATTGGAAATACAGTAAGTAAAGAATGCAACTCGTGCCACAAATATTATGTCCAAAGCTTACCACAAGTTAAAAATCAGCATATGTGATTTATATCAAATGAACTTCCAGCTAACTTATTGACAAAGGCTTTGTGCCAGTAAAAATGTTTAATTGTTGCTTTGGACCCTTCTATATTTCTCCATTAAGAAAAATACATTTAGTAACCACAATGGAGTATGCTTTTACATTTTAAGCTGAACGATATTCAACGGAACATTTTCAGGATGATATTTCATATATTGTCACTCTAATCCTGTATGGTATAATAGGTACCTAGAACTTTTGGTCGTTGGAGAATATACAGAAATATAGACATCCAAAACAACAATTAGGCTCCCACTTCCCACATGCAGATGTTTTTTCTTACTAACTTATTCTTTATGTGTACCGATGTGTTTTATTTGTTCTGATGTCAAGTGACATCTCTACACTAGCTTTCTATTTTAGATTCCCTT